AAGAGTTCATCGTTTGTCAATTGTTTTTAATTGCATTTTTCTTGTTATAAGTTGCTTTTTGACTATGAAGCGAATGTTCTTAAGCGATGGTTGATAAACTTCCCATTACTTCATAACAGTTGTATAACATTGCTTGGAAAGTACGATCTTAAGTTTAGATAAATACGTTTTTATAAATCACTTAATTGACCTACATTTATGTTATTTGTCGACCAAATCTTTACAGACGGACAAATTAACTGAACTGGGCATAAATAAAATAAAATAATGATAGCTCACTAGCGCCCTCTTTTGAAACCATTTCCTATGTAAATGTAAGAATCAACTTATGTCAATATAAACTTTTTTGAATATCGTAACATAATAAATCAATATCATCTTATTATTTAGAATAGTTACAATATAAAAAAGGTAACCAAGTTATTATTATTTTATTGGGTACTAAGTAATAAAAAGATAAAAATATTTTATACACAAATTGCCCATTAAAAATGTAGTTAACAACACGCAATACTCAAAGTAGTGTTGTTGTGACCCTGTCCTTTAATTGTATAAAAAAAATCTCATCTTCAGTTTATCTTACAATCGTTTCAGACGGATAATAACGTGGGGTTAATGGTTAGCTAGATTTAACGGTTGTTGAACACGGGAATATATTTATGTACGTAAGAATGTTTGGGGCGCACTTTAATACAATGAAAACAACCAAAAACTACAATGTAATTTTAATATTAATATAAACTTTTAATAAATAGAAATCTATTTTAATGGGTATTTAACATTTTTAGACGTCAACAACATTGTTGCCCGTGGCTCGCCAGGTGCGATATTACGACTAAACAAAAGACAGTCAGTAAACAGTATATACAGTATTGTCAATAATACAATGAATTCTTCTTATCTTGTCAATAAAATCTCATATATAATTCCTAAACTGTATTCAAGACAAAAATATTATAATTTACTCAATACTAGGCTATCTAAAAGCAATATCGGAATAACAGCGCCGCTAAATCGTCTTTCACACAATTATAACAAAATCTCTAAGCAATCAAACATTGATATATTTAATGATTCAAATTTCTCAATTAAAACTAAAATTAAAAATTATTTTTTCAGTAAATATTACACCACACACCTTAGGAGTATACATTAAGGTTTTTTTTCGTTTTTGTAGTGAGTTTAGTTTTAGTTTTTAATTCTTTGTCATGTAAAACTTTTGTTTTTTATCATAATGTGTTAGCCTGTAAGTGTATCCATGATATTGTGTTTTAGTTATAATTATTTTTCTTCATCAAACAGAACCTATTTCATGTGATACATTGGCTTCCTATTGTAAATAAATAAATAAATAAATAGACAGTCAAGTGGAAAACATTCCAATTGACTGATTAGACTGGCCTTATTTTAGGCCCTTTCCCACCCTTTCATTAGGTTACATATTAGAAAAGGATTGAAAAAGTTAGTGATGACTGACGTATGTTAGAGTTATATGGAGGACAACAATCTGTTGCGCCGACCTTACGGGACTAGTATAAGGAGAAAGATGATGATGGGAAGGGAATATGAATTTAATAGAGGTCGGGACGCATAGAAGAGGAAATAACCTCCCTCTATGCGTCCCCTCATAGTCAATTAAAATAGTGCAACTGCTTTCAAAATCCACCTTAATTTAAGGTGCTTCAATGTAATATCATATTTTGCGTGTAAATTCCGGAAATAGTAACATATTTCGATAATCTTGAACGGTTGTTTCAACACCATTGTCTTATAAATATGCTAAATACCATCATATTTTATAAAAATATACCTTAACACGGCCAACTAAAACTCAAATTAGCAAAACAATTGTTAAATCGTTAAGCATCATAAACATCCTTCGGCTTAAACGTTCATTAAAATGTAAGATATTCTTTGCGATTTCACACTAATTTAAAATATGACTTGAAGTCTTGAAGGATAAGAGAATTGTCTCATAATAGTAACAATCACTAATAATAATATCTTATTTTTCTCTCTCCCTCTCTCTCTCTCTCGCTATCTCTCTCTCTTCACAATCTTTCTTAATGATGAAGTGCATTAAAATAATTCTAATCATAAATAAAAATCTCACCCATTTGCAAGAAAAAATGTTTAACTGTATTTTTTATTTTTTGAATTATCTTAGTCTGTACTAATATTATAAAGAGGAAAGATTATATTTTTGTATTTTTGTATGTATTGGAATAACTGAAAAACTACTGGACCGATTTTAAAAATTCTTTCACCGTTAAAAAGGTAATTTATCTGTGAGTAACATAGGCTATATTTTTAATTTCACGCGCGAAGTCGCGAGTAACAGCTAGTAATTTTATAAATGTAAAAGATTAGATGGATGGATGGATGTTTGTTAGAGTTTGTTGCTGGACCTCGATGAATGATGTAGAGTATACTCTGCAAGGACACATAGATTACTTACTTTTTTTTTACACGCGGACGAAGTCGCGGGCGAAAGCTATTGCAATAAATTGAATACCGTTTCTGTGTTATATCGTAACTAATTCAAATGAAACTGTATTTTCCAACAAAATACTTAATCGTGACAAGGAAGCTCTGTGACCTTTGACTAAATTCGTATAACCTCAAATGAAACAGTAATTCCAGCGAAGAAACCGGCACCAATCTTGAATACCAGAGGTAATGCATTGTTATATAGCATTTGTATCCTGTCTTTAAGGTACTGTCAAAATTGAATGTCATATGTCCTTACAAGCTTCTTTATTAAGCTTGTATAATGTAACGTTGCGCAGATTTGGCCCAGCCGTTACGACATTTTGACAGCGCGGAATTAAAAAAATATAGCCTATATTATGCAGGTCTATGTCAGCTACCCTTCAGTGAAAGTCTGGTTGAAATCGGCTCAGCCGTTTCAGAGATTACTTGGAACAAACGCGGCTTGCGGACAGACAAACAGACAAACATTTTTTTTAATTTGACTTTGGTTATCAGCGACGCAAATACATCTTCCTAAAATCTGGATTTTTTCTTATGGTGTTACAACAGACACTCCAATTTTATTATATGTATAGATTACGATCATTATAAAAGCTTTTGCCCGTGGCTTCGTCCGCGCAGAATTGTATAAATTAAGTAGTGTTCTTATATATTCAATTTACGCAATATACGCACTTATAATCTCTTTAGAATTATTGTTGCTTTCGCTTTCTGTTATTGTAAATATCATCAAGCCGAGGAAATTTCCAGAGAAAGTTATATTTCTGCTTTATAATGCGATGAAACAAACGAACATGATTTAGCAGATGTATGTACTCGTAGATGACTTGCAATTTACATAGAATATATATATAATATAATAGTAATAGTAATAGAATATAATAGTTAAAAAACTTAACGCTTGACACACTTGTAATCTAGATTTTGATGTTCTTAGATAATTCATTTAACTTAGATTAACTCTACATAATCTCGACATCTTCATAATATTTATAATTTAATGTATTACACCATTTATTTATCTGTTGATTCTTTATTAGTTTACTAGAGTTCCGCGCCCGGCTTCGTACGTCCAATGCTGATATGATAATATGTTTATATCGAGATCCGTTCAGCCGTTTAGGTTACAAACTCAAACAATCCATCCATCTAAACTGTCGCATTTATAAAATATTATTATTAATGCGAATTATGCACATCACTATCTTACTAATAACTAAGATAGTGATGTGATGCCTGCAATACACAGATACTTTATTTTTTTATTACCAACTTCAATCAAACTCGCACTTCTGTGTGAATATCCATTGTCAAATTATGTCGAGGTTGTTCGGATAGAATTGTTCACAATAGAAGTTTAACAGAGGTGAATTTTCTGTTGCTTCTGTGATTACAATGTCGTATGGAATTTTTGTCGCTTCCTTATGATTATCTTACAATTATATTTGAATACGGTAGTTTGTTATAAAATCCCGGAAGATTTTTTTCTTAAGTAAAGAATTTGAATTTTAATAAAAACTAATTTAACAAGGTTAGTTAATTATTACTGTGAAATTTAAGTTAGATGTTATTTTATTTTTATGCATTTGTAAAATACTTTGCAGCTGATTTTTTTTAATTCAATCGTCTAATTGACATAACATGCTACCAGTTTCTCGAACACACACACACATATCATCATTATAATACATTTATACAATTCTAGCTTTTGCCTGCGACTCCGTCCGCGTATAATTAATAAAAATCAAAAGTGAGAAGCCTATGTGTTCTTCCAAACTATCCTCTACATCTATACCAAATTTCATTATAATCTGTTCAGCCGTTAAGGCTACATACTCTAACGAACATCCATCTATCCAGTTATACTTTCGCATTTATAATATAGGTATGATAAAGGTTTAAAAAGATTCCATATCGAAAGAAATATATTAAATATTGTCATTTTATGTTAGTAAATATATCACTTTCTACTAGCATTTATCGACGCTCTTTGTCATTTGCTCCAAGGTTGTTGGAGCGGCAGGGGGTGTGTCAAATCACGCCTAAGTCAGACCTCAAATAGTACATAGCATATGCACTAATGCAATACCTAGGTGGGAAGACATTTAGGTAATAAATCTTTAAGTTCAAAAACTAAGAAAGTGGGCAAAAATATAAATTTAGTTAAGCCTAAAAGTTAGTGTTTTTTCTATTTGTTTTTTATTAGAAGCTTTTATTAATGTTTTTGAGTTTTAATTTTTAGTTAATTTTACTAAGTTAACTTAATTCTTATTAAGACTATTTTTTATGGTAGAAAATTCTAAGGTCGTCAATAAAAGACTTCTATTTAATATTATGATAAATCATAATATTAAAAAGAAATCGTTTACGATTAAAACACATAAACAAAATAAACAGACGAATGAGTACTTCCGTCTTTTGGGAAGTCGGTCAAAAATAGCTTTAAATGACATTCATATAATAATAATAATATAGATTAATAAATCTAAATATTTCATTTGTTACAGGAACACAACAAACAGTTACTACATCACCTGACGGAATCTGAGAGGCTCTTCTTAATCGGTGCTAATTCTGACAGTAAGTTGACTTATAATCTATACTTCTGTACTAATATAATAAAGCGTAAACACACACTCTTTTGTTGTCTAAGATGTCAGCAATCACAGCATATTTTCGAATAACCCTTTTTTTAATAAAGCCCTATACTTACGTCTATTTAGGATATATATTTTACGCCGTTAAACTTAGATGTAAATATTTTGGATTAAAACCCTAATGTGGGAAAGAGACCATAAGTTGCCAACATCAAGGAAGCAAGACTGTCAAGGTTTGTCATGTCATGTCATTAATTAAAAACGGCTCAACTCACGCTTTTTTCTTCCGGTGACGGCACCGACTAGTTTCGGATCCTTCGGGGATCCTTCTTCAGGGCGAG